TTATTTCTTCCTCTACAAACCCTACATTATTTTCTCAGAATGTTGTCAGAACCCGAGAAGTTTGTCCTTCTGTAATTATCTAATGCAATCCTAATCAAAGTAGTATCTTATTCAGAGAAGGAAGGTAGATCGTTGCCCACAGAAGATTGCCAGGAAATCTGCAAAAATAGCAGAGCCTTCAAAGCCCCGGTGGTGTGTGCCCTGTGAAGCTGGGCAGGTCATGGTGCTGGAGGGGTCAGCTGAAGGGATGAGCTGGTGGCTGCTGCTGTGGAATGGAGAATTGCTCTTCATCTTCTGCCAAAGGGCTGTTTCTCTCTGTTTAGCATCAGTAGGATCGCTGTACCTGACTTTACAGAGTTTTCCCTCTAGGTCTGGCACAATTTTGTGCTTTTTTTATGCCTGCCTTCTCTGCAGGATGAAAAGTAGCCTCTCATTCATGTGATACAGCAAAATTCGCTTTTGCCTGTGCTACCGAGAGTCTTTTAAGCTGACACTGAATAATATTTTTTTTTCTCTCCCATATATCTCTGAATATTGAATCTCATCGATTGTCCCATCTGAAAGAGGTGGCAGGTGTCCAGGGTAACAAGAGATTTTAACATCTGGATGGTCATGATGAAGAATGTTTTTACTGCCAGGTGTCTTGTTGAGTAGCAGCTAGTGTTGTGATCTGGACTAATTGTCAGGAGTACAGGAGGAAACTAGCTCTCTCTGGCTTTCATCGCATAAAATCATCCCATTAATCCCACTTGCTTTCAATAAAATCTTTTTGTAGCTGAAAAGCTATTGAAACTGAATTCAGGAGGGAGTTCTCAGAAGCAAACTGTTCCTGTGGCTTCTTTCTGTAGGTCCCGTAGTAAGAGGGTTTGATTTCTACTTCAGCAATTTGATTGCTTGCATCCAGCATTATTTAATGTTTTTTTGGTCATCTTTCTCTGTCTAAGAAAATCTGTTTCACTGTGCATGTGGTTACCTGACTTTGTGTGTGACTTCTGTTATCCCTGCTGCGCTACAGGGATGCCCTAGGTTATTTGGGCATAGAAACAGCAATGTTTGAAGTTGAGTCCTATAAAATAATGCAGTGTGTCTGTTCAGCAGTACAAATACTTGCAGGAATATGAGATCTGCCCTCTTCTGTTTTAAATCAATTTCACAGTCTTGATCCTTATTATTTAAGGTGTCCCCAGATCCAGGATCTCTTGAGGGCTGGCTAATGCTCTGCTGAAAGCTGTTGTCAGTAACAGCAGGCTTTTAGCACAAGTTTCCACAGTCATGATAAAACTCATAATTTAATATACGTGGAAACTGTAATTTTAAAGCATTATTCAGGAACAGTCAACAATAATAACTAGAAGAGTAATTCCGCAACTGCTTCATACTTTGAATAACAGTATTTACAAGTATGTGGTCTGTTACCTAATGAAAAACTAATATTGTAAGCAAGCTATGATAAGAAATTGAGTAGAGAAAGCAATGGAGCAACTTCTGTTGTGCAGCTTAGTGATTTTTTTTTTTTTTAATCACTATTAAGAACTAGCTAGTAGATTACACTACTCACCACTGGAGAGGAAATTTAAATTGATCTTACGGATGTCAGAAAGCATGGAGGACACTGGCAAAGAGTCTGCAAATTTGAGTGGCAAAAGCAATGATTAAACTCAAACAGATCAAACTGAAATACAATTTCATATGTTCCATAGGTTGGATTCCTAATAATCCTCAGTAGTTTAATACTGACAAGTTATGATTCTTGCCCTGTGTCAGCACCTTTAACAGCAATGACATTTGAAGCGGATGGACAAATAAATCTTCGGTCTAAATAAGTGATACCTGAACTCTAAGTGAACAGAGCTGGAGTAAACATGAACCATACATAGCACCTGGAAAAGGACTTGCAAAATCATCTGTATGAAGAAGAAAGCTGGCCAAAAGAGAATAGACAAATAATCTTCTTGTGTAACCTGTGAATGATAATAGTAAAGCTGTAAGAAGCTTGATGAGTTGTCAAGCTTGTATCAACTGAAGGTGCTTGTTCCGCGTTTGGAATTGTAGATTTTCAGTATCTAAGCCATACACAGAGTTATTTCCAGCTTACCTGGTGAATGTTCAAATTGAAAGTCCATCAAAATATGGACAGATAGCATAATGCCCTCAAAAGAGAAAGTCTTGGAAAAACTAGCTGCGATAAATGGAGTAACTTACTGCAAATGCTCCGTCTGGGTTCACTGAGTCGTCATGGTTAAAGTTATCCGAAATAAGATAACCTCTGGCAAGCCTGTTACTTCTGAACTTCTTGCATGTAGGGGAAAATGTGAAATGCCATTAGTATCTAGGAATAAACCAAAATCCTTCACTGTTGTAGTGGAGAGGGCTTGTTTAGATTCCAATTCAATTAAATGCAATATGCAGCAAAATTTATATCCATGATGGGATACCTACACTAACCTAATCTGGGAATGTCTGTCTTGTAAACGAAACTTGAATCCAGCATATTGATTTGCGCCAGTTCCCATGCAAAGTTTGTTGCATGTGTAGTCTCAGTCTGAAAGATAAAATGGTAACTGCCAACCTCCAAAAACATCAACGTTCAATGCAGAGAAAAGTGAACGTTGGCATTGAGGCAGCAGCTCGGTATACCTGTCTTTGTCTTTGCTTGCAATTTATTCTTTATTATTTTGTTCAGGGAATCTTTTTTTCTCTCTCTTTCCTGCCTTCTTGGCCTTATGAGTAGGCTGTAAACCTTTGAAAGCAGTACTTTAAAAATAGCAAAATGGTTTAGAAACAGTTTTCTGGAATACGTGAACATAGATAGATAATGCACTGTCACATTCGCAGCGAATCCACTGCATCATTACAATAAGCTCTAAGGGAGCAGCTACTTGTCTGCATGACAAGTTCTTCTCACGCTTTTCAAAATAATCTGTTATAATCTGGTTTATATAACAATTTCTGTTTAAGAGATGCAGAGCAGGACACCGCTGAGGACCCATTCTGTTCAGCAGTCAAGAATGGATTCCCCTCCACTCAGCCTTTTAAAGCATTGGCTCTCTGCGGACACTGGGCTAATAATGCAAATGGAGCATGAACATTTTAATTTGGATCATTTTAGACTATGAACTCTTCAAGGAAGACAATTTCTATTAGCGGATCACCGGTTTCAAGGAGGATCCATCCTGTTGTTTCAAAGTCAGGATCACACAGATCACAGACAGAACTGTTAGTGCTACTTAAAACTGTCTGTGTTGGTGTTCCGAGATTTCTCTTTGAATGGTTAAAACTTTCTCATACTGCAGCAGTAGAAACTGGAGTTTCCTATGCCAGATGTTTACCTCTGGATAAAGTATTTGGTTAGAGTTGAGATTTTCTTGTTCACTGAGCTTTCATTTAAACTTAACCATCCCAGAAAAGGAGGCTTAACTTACAGGGAAGATAGGCAACTTTCCCTTGACGAGTCTTGCTGTCATTTCGTTAAGGAGATCCAGCACTTGCTGATTTTTAAAGCTAAAAGTCTTGCAATTTCATGGACAGAAAGGGAGGTGGGAGGAACCAAACAGGCTAGTTGAGAAGCAGATGGTACCAAAGTATTTTAACTGACTTTTAACTCATAACTACTCACTTATGAGTCTTGTCACAGAACAAAAATAATGAATTCTTACACTTTCTTTTTCTTCCAGCAAATAGCTGTACAGCCCCCCAGCAGGTTTGCTCTCCGGTGCTGCTCTGCGTAGAGGATAATTGCTGCTGTTGACATGAGTTAGCTAAAACGGCAGAGGTCTATGCTGGGGCTCTGAAGGCCTGAATGATTCAGATTGTGGGTAAATATGATCCCACATGGAGGAATTTCTGACTTCAGGCGATGTGGGTTTTATTTTTGCTCTGGGCAGCACATTACCAAGTGCCTTACGCTAAACGGACGTTAACATCTGAAGTCCCAGGTTCACACAGCAGGAAGCGCAGGTCACCCATCCCAGGTAGCGTCGGTTCTGAGTCAGCACGTTGCCTGTTTACATTTTATTTGATTTGGGTGGCTCAGACTACTTGATTTCAATTTCTAGCTTTTTCACAAAGACCTCATGTTCAAAAAAACTAAAACTGAAATCTCGTAGTCATAAAACATTTTCAGTGATTAGGAAGTGTGTATATTTCTTTGAGTACTACCTTTTAAGATGCTTTTATGTGGTACTTGGATTTTGGACTGTAGATCATTTGGTTTAACACAGATGCTAAGTGATTAAAAGGATCTTAACTTTAAATGAAGCCTGTTGTCTTTGTTATCTATTGTGAGGCCCAGAAATTTGGGATGGGGAAGCTCCTTGTTGTGGGTGGGGAGAAAGCCTGTTTGTTTCCTTACTTGAGTAAAAATGAAAATGATAAATCTGGTGTTACTTTTCTCCCAGCACACGGGTTTTGATAGACATGGAGAGTTTGGAGCAGGCAGCTCTCCATCCTCTGAATTCTCAGTAATTAACTTTTTTGCTGAAATATCAGAACTTAGGAGGTGTCTTTGCTGATCTTTGGCAGTCGAACTGTTAGGTTTTATTTTGGGACTGAATGCCTGTCCATTAGCGTGCTTCATCATCTGGACGTACGTGGGTTATTTTGTTCTTTTGTTCAGTGTTGAGAAACTAATATAGAGAGCGTAACTCACTTGTTCCCTTTTTCCCCTCTCTCCTTGTGGTGTTTTAGCAAATTAGGGTTTAACGATGAAAGAAAATAAAATTCGAACAGTAACTGTCATGTATTACGGTGATAGCAATAGAAATGTATAGCACTGCGTACATTATTTTAATAAGCTAGGAGTGTTCTAGAAAGGACAAAGTCTAGAGTTATTTTTGCCAGTTTGGATCCATATGTAAACAAAGGCAGCAGCAGAACATCAGCCTTGCTGTATTTAATGTACATTCAGTGTTGGTATTTCACAGTAAGCTACTGATGAATTCTTCAGTAGCCCCAAAAATGTAATTTTTTTTAATAGTCCTTTTTTTGTTGTTTTCATGCAGGTTACCATGAAAGCCAAACAGATGAAGGATTCTGTTACACATACACCAGGTGTGTGCTACCAGATCTCCACTGATGCCTGTAAAAATCACTGTAATGGGATTCTAGCTCTGCAAGGACAAGGGCATTTTGTACCTTTCAGAGTGTTTTGCAGAGACTGCTGCAACTTTGCTTTACTTTGAGCAAAGAGACAAGCTGATGGGTGTTCTGAGGGAATGTTTCCCTTTAGCTACATCCTCCCAGCCTTTCTTAATTTATTGTGGGTTTTGTTCGTTTATTCAGGCTGTTCTGTTCTGTTTGTTTGTGTCACTGTGGTAATTTACTGGTACTTCACATATACCAGGTAAGGTCATAATGGGCAAGTTCATTGCTTCATAACAAATACCTCGATTACTCAATAAGCATTTTCCTTAAGCTCTTAATCCAGAAGAGCTTTTTCTCCTCTCTGCACTGTTCTGGGTACCTTTTATTTGTGGGCAGTTCCCTGCTTGTTTGTGGTTTGTTTTATTTTTTTGGAAGTGTAACAACAATGCTTCCTACAGGTATCATTAGGCTCTCTGAGCTTAAAACACTGGCCCAGAATTCCACGAACGTCAAAGTCAATGTGAATTTGCCGGACCACATAATCACTCAGCGAGAAAGGGAGGAGGAAGAGGAGGAGGGGAACTATGATCGTATCCCAGAGCAGGTGGATGTCCAAGTAGATCAAAAGGAGACCACAGTGAGTGAAACTAGACACCGCAAGCGAAAAATTGTCAAAGCACCTGAAATGGCTCAACCAGCAATGAAAGAGGTACCAGAAGAGAAAGGCAGAGGAAGACGCCAGAAAGATTTTGATAACACCGAGCAAGAGGAAGAGAGTGATGATGAGAGCAGAAAGAGAGAGAAAAGCCGTGCCCCAGAAGAGCTGTGGACTCAAAATCAACAGAAACTTCTTGAAACGGCCTTGCAGCAGTATCCAAAGGGAACATCGGATCGCTGGGATAAAATAGCAAAGTATGTTCCTGGAAAAAGCAAGGTATGCTTAGGGTTTGTTTGAACTGTAGTATAAATTGAGGGGAAACGTATTTTTTACCAATTTGTGATTATTTTAAGAACTGATGGTCCCTGCAGAAGGGTGAGGTTTTTACTTGGCCTATCAGTCCAGACATAACTGACCTAAAGAGCGTCACTATCATGTTTGTTGGTTTTATTTAAAATGCCTTTTTATTTAATTTGGTTTGTTTGACCTGTTACAGAAGATGTTGAAATACCTCCAGTTTCATTTAAAACACCTACATCTCCTCTGCCTTTCAGATCTTCCATTGCAGGACAAATTAGATTTTAAAACAAATTTTGATTCAAAGTTAGTAACCAAATGTGGTGAGCCACTTTGCTTACACTTTTACAATACCTTTCTCAACCCATCTCAATGAACAAACAAAATAAGTAATCCATCTCCAAGTGTTAAATGCTCAATAATCAATCTAATGTTCTTTTTGTAAGTATAATCTTTTTAAAATAGTGTTGTCATTGATGTAGTTGGTCTGTGCTAGATTTTGTAATAGTTGTGATAGTTTGCTTGCTTCAGTCATTGTAGCTGCAGAAAATCGTTTTATTTGTGCCAAACACAGTGTGAGAGCAGGAAGCGCAGGTGGGGGATTTGAGGGTTTCTGTGGCTCTGGAGCTCTTCAGCAGTATCTGGTGTCGGGAGGAGCTGTGTTAGTGACCGTAAAGGCTTGCCTTAACCGACCTGCAGCGTGGCTCCCACAGAGTAACAGTTCTGAAATAGATCTTACAGTGCGACTGTTTAATAACTGCTTTTACAGTCGTTGTCAGGAAGTACGAGGCAACTCTCCTTGGGTTCGTGTGCTCTTTAAAGAGAGAAATGTAAATTGCAAGTTCATTTTTCTAATCCGTTCTTCACTAGATGTAGATTCTCCTTCTGAAATTTAGTGTGAAACTTTAAAAAAGGACCCCCCGAAACCCCACACAACCCCAGAACCTAGCTCTTCCTCTAGAATGAGGTAGCATGTATAGAGTTACAGCAATACTAAAATGCCAAACTTTAACACTTCTGTTTTTCCTTTTAGGAGGAGTGTATAGCAAGATACAAGTTGCTTGTTGAACTGGTACAAAAGAAAAAAATGGCTAAAAGCTGAATGTTCTGAGCAGAAGACATGTAGCTCATCTTTGTCAAAATGGGGTTTTAAATCTCACATGCAGGAAAACTGCATTTTTGTACCTCAGTATTTCTATACGTCATGTGCCTTAGTAAAAGAAAACATTAATAAATCTTATGCCATCTTACCTGTTCTGTGTTGAAGAATGAAGGTGTGTCTTTGTTGGAGAGCTGCTTGTGTGGACGTGTGCTAACTAGGTCTTAAAAATTAGTGGACCTTCAGGAAAACCCACACTGATAATTGCACACTGGAACTGGTAGGTTTACAGCCAATGAATATGCAGAATGTAAAGAATTTATATTTGTTTTGAGAGAGAGAATTGATCTGAAACTGTTAGGCAAGCACAAGAATAATGTAACTCTGCACTCAAAAAATATATATTTCTTCCTTGCAGCTATAAATCCCAGACCGTATGGTTGTAGGCGTGTCTGCTGCTATGTGAGGTGTCTGGTCATTCTAACGGTATTTTGAAATAAGCTGTATTTCTATCCTTAACTTCCACCTACATTTATATGCACCTGCAATCTAATACTTTTTTACCAGCCCTGCAGACTAATGCACAGTGATTCCTGATAGTGCTGTTAATTTGGTAAAGTCGAAATTGGTTAGAACATTAAAGGCTTTAATTTTTTAATTAGAAACTAAGATATATAAGGCATATACTTCATGACCAGTTTTTAAGTACAGAATAGGACTTTGGCTAAGAGTTCTCATATTTGGGGGAGGGGGTTGTATACCATGGATACAATAGTTTGATTTTCTACTTGAACAACAGGTAACAAGGGTTATTGTTCCTTACTTGCTATTTTGCTTTTCATCATTTTGGAAAAGTACAAAGCTTGAAATGCTGGAAAAAAGGGTACTTACTTAATGGGCTGTAAATTATACCAGTAAATCAGAGCAGTGATCACAGTCTTTGCAAGAAACATTAAGGACTCGCATTCTTTGAAGTATTATTTACCACTCGAAATCTGATTTAATACCAGGATTCTAGTTAAGTTTTTGAGCTTTAATTCAGAATTAAAATGAAAAATCAGAGGACCGCATATCTGAACTCAAAATTGGAACTTGGTGGCTGAAAATCTCCATTAACTTTCAGCCATTTACACTGTTCGTTTTCCCCAGTAACTATTTGCCCGTTGCGTTGCTTCTGATAGATGAGCATTTCACAAAATTTCATCCCATTCCCATAAAACGTAAAGGGAGAAGTATTTAGGGAAGATAAGTGTTCCACATACCTTCCTTTACCTGTTGAAGCTGCTTTTTCCTTTGGGGAGAGGGGATGTCATGTATTAAAAAAAATTATTCTTAGTCAGTAGAAGTAATGGTATTATGGGAACTTTACTAGACACAAAATAATGCATCTAAATTTTGTTTCAGAGAAAATTTCACTGGGTAACTGTGTTGGAAACTAAACATATTTAGACACTGCTGTGATCTGTGTGTGCCAATTGATCAAACAGGAATTCTGTGCTACTAATGCACCTATGAAGGAGGAGTCTTAAGTGAGATCAAGTGAGGTATTTTCAAGAGGTATCAGGAAATCTTAACTTGATTAGTCATCCAGAACACTCAAGACAGCTGACTCGAACTGTAAAGCAAGGTGATTGAAATGGCTACAAAGAAAAGCTGCTAAACTGTTAGGTGACTTGGTGTTGCACTGATAGGGCTGGGGTGGAAGAACACGAGTGAATGGAGATGTGTTGTTCATGAAAAAAAATAGACTGGTAATTGGAATATTTCTGCTGTTATAAAAGAAGGCGGCAAGTCAGGGGAGAGGCTAGCCTGTGAGGATAAGAGTCATCTTTCCTTTCCACTCTGGGTTTATAAGACTTCACCTGGACTGGTGTGCCCAGTTCGGTGTATCGCCCTTCAGGGAAAATATAGACCATCCAGAAGAGGCAAAGAGAATGAGACAGAGTCTGGAAAAGCCTGATTTGCTAGGGAGCACAGAAGGCATTGTTGGTATTTGCTCTACGAGACAGAGAGAGAGACAGAGAGAGAGAGA